CTTACATTATTGTCATTGTGGAGACAAACTGGCCACTCTGAGAAAATGAAATGATATGGCCCAAAAAAGGGAAGTCTCTCAAGCTTGCTGCACTGGTATGTTGGTATGAAGAAACTGAGACTGGGAATGAAAGCTAGAATCCAGAAAGATGCTGCTCAGCCAGAAAATTGCAAACTGTCTTAAGGTAAGTGATAAGAACAGGTTGAAAGGACCACGGTAAGACTAGAGAAACATCCAGACTGACTTTTTAAATTTTTTTTATTGTTGAATAGATGCTGGAAAGCGCAAAATACTAAACCGTAATCCATATTTTAGCTTCATCAGCAATTTTTGCAGTTTGTCAGGTAGGTTGGTCAGTCAGAAATGCATCTAAATTATTTTATTTAATATAATGCAATGTGAAGAATTTACAATAAAAAGCATGATGGGATACAAATGCACTTTACATTAGAAAAACAATCTGGATTTATCATATTTGCAAATAAATTAAGCAATTTAATTTGATCAGTTTATGACAAAAATAACGTGTTTGGACTGGATTACTCGTATATTGCATACACTTTATTGAAAAACTATTAACATATAGTATCTATAAGAAAAGATGCACAGCTTTGAATTTAGGTGGTCTTAATAGGGCCACCTTCCCTAAATAAAAAAATTAATAAAATAAAATTTGCATGAACTATCAAGCCTATATTCACCAGACACCACCTTAACCCAATATAAACACACCCTATACCCAAAATAACACAGCTCTAGGACCTTGTTAAAACATAAAACATAATAATATATAAATATGCAATATATGCATAAATAATAACAGTCATAGTAATAAATTCAAAGAGATGAGCATCAACACAACTATTAGTTCATTTCACCAATGTCAACATAGTGTCAGTTGTTGCACAGTTTGCTGGCATTTCTTTTCTAAACCCCTATCCCAGCACAGAATGAGAGCAGATGTAACTTTACATGCGAACCAGCGGTCGAACCGAGCTCAGCTCCCCCCGAGCGTCATTTACACATGAATGCATGTTTCATGTCTCCAGACAGATTTAACAAATGACGCCTTTCTTATAATTTGGCATCTCAGACTTACCTGATTGTGCGCGTGCGGGGCCTCCGTGCACCACAGCATTTATTCAACTCAACTGACAGTGTTTCCGTCCCTTTAATCCCCGTCGCCAGACATGAACCAGCAAAACAGGACGATGTCCGACTCTCCCGCTACCTTTCCCTAATTTGATTTCATATCAAGGCAAAAACTGATTCGCCTTTGTCTGACTGACAGAAGCCATATTGATATTAACAAAAGCGCTGCGGTGGTTTCATGGGAGTTGTAGTTCCTCTCGGCGGGCGGGATAGTCACACTTAATGGGAGTTCGTCGAGTGCCGGACTACACATCCAGTGGAATATGGTACAGTTTCATCCTCGATCATTTTTCACCAACTGCTGCACGAACAAAAATGTCATTTCTGACTTTTTATTCGCTGAGGACATGACGACAGAATGTGGAGTTTACTGCTTATATTCCTCTCTCTTTTTTCTCTGAAATATGAATTTAGTTTATTATTAATATTATACATATCATACAGATGTATGTTTTCAACGAGATAAAGTTTTTTTTTTTTCCTTTTAGAGTACATATTTACTATTTATTCGACATAGTACTTTTAACGAAAGACTCACATACATTTCATCAGATATTAATTGTGTGAGGGAAAACTGTCAAAAAACCCTAAAAGATAAAAAGGTATGTTTGATTGTACTGGATTAAATGAAATTCTTACAACACCTTCACAGGGGATTCACAGTTTTATTACATACTACCGCCCTCTAGTGGACATTTACCGCAATCACAACAACAGTGTCCACAAAACACCAAATTTTGGTAGCGCTGCAAAATACTAATACAGATATATTGATATGACATGATTCTCAAACGCTTTCAAAATATCTGTCATTTATTTTATTTTATTTTTTGTAGTAGGTATACTGCCCATTTCAATTTTATAATATTATTTTAAAAATGTTGGTTAGAGCAATGGTTTGATATTTTTGTTACCCTTTACATTTTTTTTTTTACCATTTTGTTTTGTGTTTCACAATTGTTTGGTTTTAGCTGAAATACCTATTGAATGACAACTTACCCCATACAGTATTAAATATGGTGGGTGTTTGAGTTCAATGAACGGTATCTTCGGAAGCTTATTTGCAGCCTAGACTTTATGTATGTGCCTGTGTTTCCAAATCAAATCACATCCAAATAACCCAGGGCTTCTTGAGTCGATTATATTATTGCAATTGTGCAAACAGGGCAAGAAATGTGCATTAGGCGTGCAACAATATGACTGTTTTGGCTCATTGACTTTGCATTGATCCACTCACTAATTTTGACAGCCCAGAATGCACAAAACGAACAAATAAGAAGACTAGAATATGCTAGAAAACATTTATTTCCTTTGCTGCTTGGAAACAGGTTGGAAATCCATTGCGTTGCTTTTGCTGGCTTTCACATCACCTCTGAGATTCCCCTGAAGTGACAGCAGAATCATATCGACACTAGTGGCATGGAAGGAAAGTCATGACACACATACACAGACATGACAGGACTCACCAACCTAAAGAAATGGATATTCACTTACCGGCTGTTCAGTCAAATAACAGCCTGCATTATGAGATATTGATTTGCACAACAGTAATCTCGTACATCCAATATAGTTATCAATGTCAATCACCAAATAAATAAATACGTGGACATGAAATATCGTTTGAGTTTTAATTATTTGAAAATATTAATGTATAGCCTATTATCTTAAAGCTTCTGCTAAGAAAAAATAGCAGCCTACCCTACAAAGTACAAAACAATAGGTCTAGCAGGATAAACGCTGCAATAGTAGGCTATTTCAGTAGGCTAATATTAATAGCCCTATATATGTAACCTCTAAAGTAGTTTTCAGTACAGTCCATAACCGAGACGCAAGACAGCGCGATTTAAGTTTGTATGAAACGAGAGAGTGAATACGCGAGCGGCGCAGTGCGACGCGACAAAATACTGTATTTTGTCGCGCCGCGCCGCATCCAGTGTAGAGAGCATCACTGATGCTCTCTGCATTATAATGCCTTCTAGAATTTAAAAAAACGATGTATAATAATGTAACTTAGATAAATGTTGTTCAGAATGATCATTTTTATCACGCACTCACATTTGCACGATTTCCCAGCAAAACTGTCAAAGCATATTTTATTATAATTCATCATGCATTGCATCTCTACATACAGTCATTCACCTCAAAACAAAGTAAGCAGGTTTCAAAGTTCAAGATACAAAGTGCTGGAGAAAATGATTTGATGTCCTGCATCATACCCATCATATTTTGGCATTGCACGTTTTTCATGAACAGTTCAAAACGACATTGTTCATTTTGTTCTGTGCACTGTTGCACATTCGTTTCAGTTCATCTGAAATACCTGATAAGCAATTCAAGCAATCAATAGGCTGCTAAGTCATGAGTTCTATACAGCTGCTAGACTCACTGAAGTGTCTGCAGTAGCTATAACATCATGAAACAGATGGCATGTGGGCTGTCTCTTAACTGTCACACCTTATGCCTCATGTCCATATCTACATACCTGCACAGTGAAGAGGACAGTAAGCTACTGGTGAATCAATGTAATTTGCATCACATTTTCACTTAGATTGTTCAGCTGAACCTAAAAAGAAATGCTCCACTAGAAAGTGGCAGAAGCTGACAGAAGTGACAGAAAGATGAGTCCAAAAGTCTGACACCACAATGAAAATCTCAGACCCTATAGGTGCATGCATGCATGCATATTCAAAAGTTCAGGGTCAATATTTTTTGTTGTTTTAAGTCTCTTGTGCTCACCAAGGGTGCAATTATATGATCAAAAATACAGTAAAAACAGCAATAATTTGAAAAACTATATAATTAAAAATAACTGTTTTCTTTCTCAATATATTTTAAAATGCAATTTATTCCTGTGATGGTAAAGTTGTTTATTTATTTATTTTTTTAGAAATAATTCTAATATGCTATAGTACTGAAGAAACATTTATAATCAATGTTACAAACAGTTGTGCTGTTTTATATTTTTGTGAAAACCATGATAAATGTTTGAAAGATTCTTGATGAATTGAAGTTCAAAAGAACAGCATTTATTTGAAATAGAAATATCTTGTACGTTTATAAATGTTTTTACTGTAAATTTAATGCAGCCTTGCTGAATGAGTATTGTTTTTCAAACAAAAAATTCCAAACTTTTGAATGGTAGTGTATATGCTATATTTAATATATTAAATACTTAAGATTCAGAACTATTTCTAGGTCCAATATGTAAATTTGTGACATTGCTCATGTTACTCTGAAGGTCAGATGTTCATAAGATGCTCTTTGGTTCATTTGACCCAAAGTTCATGCAGCTCGAGTGCTGCTGCAATTTAAGCCAAAGAAGGACAAGTCAAGTACTATTTTTCAATTAATAGTTATGAAATTCAAAAATTCATGTAAATTTTTCAGTTTACATTTCATGCGAATTATGCTCATAATATAAATATAAAATATACATTCACACTAGTGGTCTCAGACTTTGGACACCCCACTGAAGATCTATTCTGTAGATCCCATGTGTTCATTTTTTATTTATTTTTTTGCCATACAAAGTGCTAAACCTGATTGCAACATCCTCCAATAATAATAAAAAAAAAAAACCCTGCAATCATAAGAAAGTTTGAGTCGAAACTCTGTGCAGCAAAGCCTCTCCCAGCACATCAATCTTAGAAACAGACCTGAGCTTGAGTTCTCCGTTCTCTTTACCTTCAGAGCAGCAATGGATATTTCAACTACAGCATTGAACACACACAAGAGACTTCATGTACGAGCCTACATCTGTATTATAAAAGTAATACTAGCTAAACTATGGGCAGTGCAATCTGGCTTTTTATAAAGTCATTGTGTTGTTTTGTTTGTAAAGGTTATATTTATCTGTCCGCACTGGTTTCTGCAAGTCTATTATTCATTATGCCCAGGGCTCCGACCCCACCAGAGAATCCATTGTGCCTATTTGTTGACCCGCATGGCCTGGGATGGCCGTTGGCAGTCTCAGACAGTTGTTTCTGCATGATCGCCAAGTTGACCTTATTAGCCACCAGGAAGTCTCTCATGGAGATCATCTCTCCAGACATCCTGCGTCCATCAGTCTCGCTGTCGTTCACGGCATCTGTGTCTATGGATATGTTGCGAACACGTTTTCGGACATGGGCTGGCATGACTGCATTTCTACGGGGCCGGAGAGACCTCCTGGGGCAGTGACGGCATGGTATCTCGAGCTTTTTCAGGAGCCAGTTGAGCACCTGCTTGATAACAATAGAGATGACGTTGAACAGTGAGTAAATGCAGCAAACGCCCATTAAAATAAAGAAGAAATTGCAGATTCGGTAGACGGTTTGGTTTTCGTAGCTGGCCCGCTGGCTGCTGACCATATCCCCGAAACCAATGGTGCTGAATGCCACAAAGCAGAAGTAGAGTGAATCCAAATATCCCCATCCCTCGATTGAGGAATACATGGCCGAAGCACAAGAAGAAATGATTATTGCTGCCACGCAAAGGATCAACATCACACAATACACTGAGGGCTTCCATCCTGCAAGACTGTCTTCACGATTTAGCCTCGCGTCTTGTCTGCTGTCATGAGGTAAAACTCCTTTGCGTCGCCGTTGGACTTCATGGCAGGATTTGAGAACAAAAGCCAACACTGTTATTATTCTCTCCAAGAACAGATTGAAAAATAAAATGGTGGCTGCACAGCCAATGAGGCCATAAAAGATCAGGAAGATTTTACCACCGACTGTGGCTGGTGTGGTCATTCCAAACCCTGTGGGAAATATGAGAGGAAGAAACGGTAATTTATACCCATATATAACGGAATAAACAATATTTGCCGCGGGCTGTTTATTGAGCTCAATCGGCCAAAACTATTTTCTTCTTCAAAGCTGGAGAACAAACTGTTGCTATTGGTGACAGATACTGAAACATCTCCCACCTTTCCCTTGTCACTCTGATTGAAATGCAAATAACACGTGGATTGCATTATTCTTCTCATAGATGTTTTTCCCCTGCACATGAAAGCCACCATTGACGGGGACATCATGAAGACAAGCTCATTCTCATCCTCAGCTTAGGTCTGAAGACTTTATCACTGGACATTTCATGAGGTGCTTGATTACAGAGAAATGCAATGAAACCAAACTAAACATCAGTTAATATAAGCTGCAAAGGTCTATGCATGGTTCATCGTTTGGAATACTAACAGTTGTGTGTTTGTGTGGTTGTTGGTTCCCCTTTGGGAAATTTTCTTGGAATTAGTTAGGAATACAGGCATGAGGAACTGGGAAATTCTGTAAACACATCTTTGATTGCATTACCTGCAGCGTTCGATGTAGATAAACAGCATCTTTATTAAGTCTTAGGGAAGACCTCAGTGTCAATATTTACCAATTTGGAATGGTTAGATAAAATGTATAGAAAAGAGAGGGGGACATGTATCAGACTGACTTAACTTGTACAACATCCTTTATAAATTTCAGTTCTTCAGGTGTTAGGTCTAATATTGCACCAAAAGCAACGTTTTCAAAAGCTGCAAAATTTCTGGTCAAGCCCAATATATTCACTTCAAAATCTTTACACACGCAGGCAAAGTGACCTGCATCAATACTTAAATGCCTCACATAATGTACAATGTAACAATTTGCAACACTTTATTGTGTTATTGCACGTTTTATACATTTAAACTAAATGTATTAATTTTTAATCATAAAATCCTGACAAAGTGTATTTACACATATATCCACAAATAAATAAACACACAACAACATGAACACTAAAATGTAACAACACAAGAAAACAGTGACAACACAATTCCTGTGGTTTTCCTGCATAAGTCAATAAAGAAATAATAATAATAATAATAAATAGCTGTATCACATATACTGCAGGTCTAGTTGACACAAGGGCTATATGTCAGTAACTATATGGTTTTGAGTCAAAGTCAAATTACATAAGCATATGTTTTCTCTAACTGTTAGTTTTTAAGGTTGTTTTTAAGTCAGACCTCTCTTTAATTAGATTTTTTGTGTGGCTTCTATCCTAATTTTTGCAGTGTTTCAGGTAAACAAGTTAAGATGATAAAACCACACTCACATACATTCATGCAGGGACAATAAGATAGATTGGACTATTTGAAATATTAGAAATGTAAACAGTTTATTCATTACAATAATTGTTGGCTAAAGCAATGACTATATTTTGTTGCATCCTATTTCATGAAACTGTTTAGACTTTGCTGAAAGGTTATAACAGACCACTTTTATTGTGAGAATATGCCCCACTATTCAAACAATAAGGTGTCTGGAATAAACTGTATCTACATTTTTTTCCAGACAAGATTTTAGGCTATATATTCACTGGATTGAAAAGTGTGACTAGCGTCTCTCTCGCTCTCTCACACACACACACAAATACATTAGTATTACCATATTATCATACTATTATTTTTGTGTTTGTTGTAAATATGTTGTATATACAAATTTTAGTGATTTTAGATATATAAATATAATATACCTAATACATTTAAGATTTTTTCCTAATCTTTTTAGTCAAAATATATTTCATGTGTCATTCTTACCGATGGTGGAAACGACAGTACCGACAAAGTAAAAGGCTCCAGTAAAATCCCAGCGTGGTCTGAGGGTGTCCACCCGTATTCCTGCCATGTTCGCCTCTTCATAATGTCTCAAGAACTTCTCCAGATCACTTTTGTTGAGATTGTACTTTTGGCTGAAAAGCTCAAACCTCTGAGCCCACTTTTCCTTCGCCTGCTTCTCCTTGGGATGCTCCAGGGCTGAAAAGACCGCGGCTCCGCACAGGAGGTAGAGGATGATGAGGAGCAGCAACATTATGAACCTCGCATTATCTTCATTCACAGGACCACAGCCACAGCAGCACGCGCCTCTACATGCCATTATGTGACTACTGCTGGACAGGACTGGTAATAAAGTCTCCACATCTTACATTTAACGGTGGTGGGCATGCAACTGTAAGAAACTTCCTCGTCTTCCATTATTCTTGGGCTACATGTACACCAAATGCTCATGAGCAATGATGATGAGAGATGCTCATACCATCCTCTGACAATGGGTTTAGTGGCAGCTGAAATCCTGTTAGATGAGATTGTGGGTGGATCTGCTAGTTCAGCTCATCTCATGTGATGCATCTCACTGGGTCTCATCCTAAAGCCTATAGCCGATCTTATATTCACTTCAGTCGCTGGTACGTCCATCAGTACGTGTGGCTGCATGCACAAGCTATGGAAAAGATCTTACAATACTGGATACAAGCTTTATAGTAAGCCTCCAACACCAGTTTACACAGACTAAACTCGCAAAAACTCTGGACATATTCACAATGTGTCCTTAAGTTCAGTAGACAAACCTCACAAGAAGCGCACGTTCCCTGCGACTGCACGAAACTCTCGGAGCAGACGCATATGGCAAGCCATTTTAACAATTACACTCTAAAACTAAAGTTTTTCTTTCTTCGTTGCTGGTACTTATTTGAATAGTATTATAACTAATAAGAACTTAAATAGCGACTAGTATCTATTTTCCAGCTAATAGGGAACGTTTTTAGAACTTTAGCTAAAGTTTGTGTCAAAGTTCCCTAAAAGTTATAAATAAACTAATTCTAATGGAATGTTTGTTCAAAGTTCTCTGATCTTTAATAATGTTCTCAAAACGTTTGCACAAAAACATTATTTATACATTATTAATGGAACTTTTTTTTCCAGAATCATTTTAGTTGGACATTTTTTAAATGTTACTACTTGTTTCAGAACACTCAGAGGACATTATAAAAGTATTGTGCCCAAAGTGTATGATTGCAGAAAAAATATATGCATTTGTATTGAACATTTATGGAGCAACAGATTTTCTTTGAAAATAAATCATACATGTCGTATATTTTGTTTAAAAATCGTATAAATGTATGAGGTGGCATGGGGTAAAAGGCACACAGTATTGATACAAATACTTTAGCTAAAATAGGCTATTTATTTTTTAAATAATGTCTAAAGCCGGGCGCACATTGTGCGATTTTTTAAAAGTCCTTTAGGATTGTACTTGTCAGACTGTAAGAACATGATGATCATGTCACACTGTGGGATCTCAGTTGTTATTAATGTCAGACTGTACGACAGTCAAGACGTTTTAAAAACGGGTGCGTGCAAGAAAACTTGTCCGTAGTTTTACATTATCAACCCACACACGTTAAGTGACTGCAAGCTGCATTGCACGCGGGGCTGAAATGTTGGCTATCATCAAAAGTATATGAACGGCAGAAATACCAGCGTATTTAAGTAAGCAGCATTACACACCCACATGAAAACAGTGGCGCAACCGGTGTTTATCATAGCAAAGGCAACATATCAGATGAATTCCGTGAGCGGAGGAAGGGAGCGCTGGAGTTTATGGCAGTCTCTAGCATTAATTCTGGTCATGGCTTGTCTTGAAAAACGAAGACAGTTTGACGTTCGTCGTAGGAGAAGTCACTCTGCAGGACAGTGTGCCAAATCTTCTGACACTGCCAGAAATACGTCTGAGGTAAAATTTGATCGCAACAGCCATTAATCGGCTGTCGGTGAACATGTCAAACTAACGATCAAAGACTACAGATTTTAGCTAGGATTATAGGAATCTTTTAGGATTTTCAAAATTTGTCTCAGACGGATCGTGGCCAAAATTGCCCAGTGTGAGCCGGGCTTAAGTTAATACTTGTTCAAAACAATCACTTTAGCAAAGTGTGTACTATTTTCTGCTTATTTTGATAAATAAAAAAAAATTTTTGTTCAGTAAATATACTGTCATTAAAATATGTTAATATAAAACATATTTTAAAATACAGAATCAAAATAATTTAAAAAAGTAAAGATTCTGAAAGCACTGAAGGAGATCCCATAATAATTTAATGTAGATTTACAGTAGTAACAACAAATTATATTTTATTATATGACATGATTAATATCATGTTTTTAAATATAATGGTTTCATGCTAAACATGGTGATTATCTCTAAGATGGACACCCAACATAATGTATGATATTTACCATCTGAATCTAACCATGTCATGTCAACAAATGGAAAAGTCAGCCTTCTATTAATTATCATGTTAATTATTGTGCCTTTAGCCCCATCAGCAGGGGCACTTTTTACCCAAAATGCCATACATTTACATATTCTTTCGTTATTTAAAAACTGTTGCTTAAATTATCTTTAAAAAAAACTGAAAATCATTAAGAAAGACCTTTGTCTCAAAATATATTCAATAATTTTTTAGCAATTCTCATTTTCTACTTAAATCTACAACATTTAAAAAAACATAAAATATTAGATCAAGTAAGCACAGAATCAAATTTGTGTTGCTGCCCGCGATCACGTCAAGGATCAGCCACATTTGCACATGCATCTTGAAAAGCAGATGTTTTGTAAAGTGTTAAGCCGAGTTTTTCTGCCATCTAGTGGTTTAGAGGAAAATAATATCAAAGGCGTATTTAATGTTTGCAAAATTTAAAAATGTAATGTTCCTGGAATTTTCCAATAAAAAAAAAAAACTGGACGTTTTGAACGTTTTTGAGAGAAATAATGTTTTTATAACTTAATGGGAACGTTGGCAAAAACGATCTTAGAACATGTTTTTGTTAGCTTGGTTTTAATTTGCTACTACTCCAATTAGTCACCATTACTCACATTCTCATTCCCAACTTGTCACATATTGACGCTTGGTCAGGACCCTTTGGCGTCACTTTTTGATGCACAGGGTACCCCTTTAGCGTCATTTTTCGACGTGCAGGGTCCTCCATTGCTTTAAATAAGAAACCCTTGGCGTCAGCGTGCTGACGCGAAAGGCACTGGGAATTTTATTGTCATGATAATATTGCCATTATTGCATATATGTTGGGGTGTGATTTTTCAATGTAAACAGTCACAACTTTTATTTACATTACACTATTTACACGTTTATGAGCACGTAACCCAACCCCTGCCCCATTTGGCAATAAAACACAAGATATAACAGGCAGATACAGCTACAGTCGTAATTTATTCAAAAAAATATTAATATTCTTCCGAGGCAAAACAATTGATTTGTGAGAGGAATAGATGTGATCGCCGTCTCCTTGTTTACCTATTGGCTCTTGTGTGTCTCGTGACCATTTTATATTGTTCAGAAGTGGGTAGGTTTAGTGTAGGGGTGGGGTTAGGTGCTCCAATGAAAGTATACATTTATATAAAATGAGTTTCTATTTTTTTTTACAAATGCATGTAAACCATTAGATTAAGACATACAACTGAAAACAAAGGAGGACCCTGCACGTCGAAAAGTGACACTAAAAGGATACCCCTGTGCGTCGAAAAATGACGCTTAAGGGGTACCTTGAGTGTCAAAAAGCGACGCCAAGGGGTCCTGACCAAGTGTCAATATGTGACGAGTTGGGAGTGAGAACGTGTTGGTCACTCTTATTCCAACAGTGACAGATTTTGATGTTACTGGTAACAAATTGCTAATTTTGCCATTTGATTCTTTGCGGATGTGTATTCCAGTTGTATCACTAAATATTTACTAGGTATTCACATTTATACCTTTTCAAAAAGCTACTTATAGCATATACACTGAAAAAAATTTTTTAAGGTAAGTGGTTGCAATCAATTTATTTGAGCTACATTTAAATACATTTTGCTGAAAGTTAGTCAACTAAATTTATTTAAATGTAACTAAAATAAATTGATTGCAACCACTTACCTTTAAAAAAAATTTAGTATCATTTTTTTCAGTGTATATGTTTTAAATTAAAAGTACCAAATCAATATACACTAATATCAGACATTAGCATGTATTCCTGTTATTACTTTTACTAGCCCATATGTATGACAAGTAATAATAATAAATAAAAAAGTAATATGAGAAGCTGTTGTAATATAGCAAAGCTAGACTAATAAATATTTGAACCTAATTAAACATCACTAGAAAAAGGGATGTGCCAGAGACAACTGTAATATGCATTAATCAGAACTCAACATAAATGCAGATACAAGTTAGTTTTAAAGAATAAATATTAAACCAGCTTTCCATATGATGGCTTCATGTCTTGTCATGTCTATATATATATATATATATATATATATACTCTGGAAATAATTGCAAAAATGTCATACCTAGACAAAACTATGAGTTTAATAACATGGGGACAATTATTAGTAATTGCATGGGTTTTAATTGGAATCGTTAACACAGTAGTCACTCATTTGAATGGAAAACACATAATGATCCTCGTGGTTTTGGCCAGACTGCTCTGTTAGGAATTACTCTAATGATTCGAGATCAATACTAAAAGACCTTTTCAGAATGGAGGAGACCTCTCTAACATTTATCTGATCTAAAGTCTAAAGCAGTTTCAACAAATGTCTCACATAGCTGTGCAAGAGAGAGATACATAATTCAGATTGAATATTTCATTTTCATTACAATGTACAATAAAAATTCCACAAGCGACATGCTGTAACTTTTAAGTACAGACGTGCTGGAGAAAAGGTCTAAGTGAACCTTAAAGTAATGCACAGAATCAAATTTTGTTCATTAAAGGAAAAAAAAAAATGGGGCCACAGGGAATTCCTGTATCAAGGTAGAGTTAACTTTTCCAATGTTGCTAGGCAACATGACAATTTCAGGATAAATAGAAAACAGCACCAATTGTTCTGTATTTTGAACACATTCAATATATCACTGATGCTGGGGGAGCAGAGTCCTCCTCAAACACATTACTGCATCACTGTAGCCGGAAATGAAAAAATCAATCCGCCCTTGGAGCTCACCCGGAATTCATTTCAGAGGACATGTCCATAATCAAACTTTTAAAAAAGACCAATTTGAGATGTTTTCACCATTTCATTTAGTCCTCTTTTTATCTGAACTCTATTGGTTATACAACAAATCCGGCTCACAATGGATGTGAAAATTATTATTTTTTTTTTACATATAAATAAATGGTACCAGTTACCTGCTTCTGAGGTTTTTGAATCAAGGAGTAAACATGACTAGGTCAAAGCCACCGACA